GTCCACTTTGCCCTTAGTCCTGGGTAGAATTCTTTCTTGGAAGGCTAAGATGTGACTCGGTTTTGATAGAAGGTTGAAAATTGAACTTACAATGGGAGGTTTAATGATTAATGGAGATGCATTTGTCTCACAGCATTTCTATGGCTGTCTGTCTTGCATTACAGCTGGGGAAAGTGAGGCAGATGTCTGGCAAAGCTCAGTTATGGCAGGAGGTAAGGATACAAGTCCTTTGCTTTGTTCAATAGATCACATTCCTTTATAAGAGCTTCCTTTTGCTAATGCTCTTGCTATTAGTACAACTTACATAAGGGTCTCTGGTCTCATGCCACTGGCAACCCACAAGTTCACCACTTAAATCACCCTAAGCGTGTTTCAGACACTAATGAAGACCAGGTCTTGTTTTAACCAAAGGCTGCAAGAAGAGTATCTTAAATAAATGGAGATAATTGGCTAGGGATAACTGAGAAGATGGTTTCTGGGCCATGGAGATGGCTGTACTTTGCCTTTGGTTCTGACAATTTGGTTAAAATGCAAGACACATGCTGAAACTGAAGCTGTTAGGGTTGGGTGCACTGGTGCTGAAATAACTGACCACTCTCTCCCAAGTGCTTGCATTAGCTTCTGGATTTGGTTTTGCAAGATTCTCTGATGGCTTTTTCATTTTCATGCCATGACATATTTTGCCATTGAGTTGTGTGTAGGAATTTCAGGACTGAAGCCACATGTAAACAAACATGAGATATCTGAGCTATTAGATACTGTCATTTCAGTAGACTGCTGCTTCACTCTGCTTTCATCTCAGGGCCTGCAATCCTGAAAATGAACCAATGATGCTGCAGATTCAAATACAACATGAGCATCTGGACAAGAGTGATGCACCATATAATTCATCATTAAGCCTCAGAAAATAGATTTTTGGCAAACTGCCTTTGATAAATCTGGGTTGCAGGAAGGTTTTGGTTATGCAGCTGAAGTTAGGGCAAATGGAACCTTGTTCTTTCTGCATGTTCCCTGCTAGTTGTTTCACAAGTAGCCTCCAACTCTGAAGGCAATGTTCTTAGTCTTTCCTGGAGGAAGTAAAAGGACTTGTCATAAGCAGAGTTCAGTAATGCATGACTGTTCTCCTGGATTTGTCCTTGCTGGTTACAAAAGGGGAACATTCTATTGTATCTAATCCTTTTCTGTCCACTATCAAGGGAAGACTTTGAATTCTCAGTTGGGAGGGCAACACTGCAGAGTCTTGATGCAGAAGTGGCTTCACAGCCAGAAAATTAAACATTCCTGAACATCTCAAGCTTGATGAGCCATTTTGTACTTTTGGAGCTTGAAGTGCAGAAGAGTCTTGGCTTTTACTGTTGCTTACTGAAGTGAACTGCTCTTTTCTAGGAGGCTAGCAGTCTGCAAAACTGCAAAAGAGAGGGACAACTGTCCATGCCCTATGCCTGTTTTTTGTGGTCACAAAGAAGAAATTACTTCTGTTGGTGCACAAGTCCCACCAGGTAAAATGTGTTCACAAGTAGGGCAGATCATTCTGTGTGGAGTGAGGTATGTTGGAATAAGTTGCTGCTGTTTTCAGATGACAGAGCTGAGATTCTGATGACTAGTGCTCATTTGGGCCTCTGAGAGATTAACCCTGGTTTCTTAGTGAAGTTCCTAAGTGCCTATGGAGTATATTTAATTGGATACAGTCTTTCACTTACCATGTGTTAACTTGTGTAGAGTTGCTATGTGTTTCTGAACAGCTGTCCTGCTTCATTTCAGTAGTGGATGAATAAAGTTCTAAATACTTCACTTGTCATTTGCATCCATGATCAGGTTCTTACCTTATGTTTATAGATGGGGTAAACTGAGGTGCAAAGAGTTCATGAGACTTACCTGAGTTAATACTCCTAATCAGTGTCATCCAGTCTCATGTCTTGTCCACGTGGCCACACTGCATGCTTGTCATGCTTTAAATCAGGGAAATGGCATTTCCACAACAGAAAGATGTAGCTTGCAGTCATGTGGCGTGTACGGGGGGTTGTCTGCTTGATGTTCCTTTTGTCATCTGCAAAACATAGTTTGCTTTTTGCATGCTAGTGCATTATAGGGAAATGGGATCCTAAAAAGATCTCTGTAAGCACTCAAGCCATTATTTGTCTGTAAAGTGCCACCTATGCCTATTGCACTGAATAGTCTATATCCATTATTTACACCTTGATTAAATAAGAATTGTTCACCAGTATGATGCAGGTCCTATGCTACTAAAGATGATTAAATGGTAGGGGCTTGTGCTTTCGTGTTTGGTAGAGGGCTACATTTTGGAAAGATGAACGTGTGAAATAGGGATGTAAAAAGTAGTCGACTACTTGGATTTGCTACTCGGAGGCAGCATGGTGTGTGGGAGGGAGCAGGAGCCAGTGCTGGGGGAAGCTGTCTCTGTGGTCTGGGGCGGGGAATCAGGGAGAGAGGCACAGCAATCTGGGACCTGGGTCTGGGAGCCACCTGCATTGCTGCTCTGCCTTTTTAATATAGCGAGAGTCCAGTGGCTCTTACTACATTTAAAAGGCAGAGCAGAGTGGTCCTGGAGCTGGAGTGAGCCAGGACTGCTCAGTGTCAAATTGCTACCCCTGCTGTTGCTCTGCAGAGGACCTCCCCTTATCAACTAATTGTGTAATCAGAACAAATTGTATCAATTACACAACTGAAACAGAAGTTGCTGCTTGCTTGTGTTCATTTGGGGCCAAATTTAATCAACCAACTGACCCTTGGAAATCTCCATGCTTGAATATAGATGAGGAGGCAAGTCAGCTAAATGAAGCTGTAGCAAGGGATAAAGGAACACACCAGAGGGCAAGAATGAAAATAAGGAGAAAGTACATCTATAGCTGTAATGAATGCATGGAGTTTGGGCAATAAAATGGAACCACCACAACTACTGGTGCAGGAAGCCAAATCAGATGAGATGGCATGAGGGTTACAGAAGAATGATGGAATAGCCTTCTTGACAAGAACACAGCATATTCCCTTGAATACCTGTATAAGGGAGAGAAATAAAGATAAAGATGGTGGGGTAGTATTGCTTGGTGATGCAATAAATTGTAAAGAAATTAAATGTGATAGTATGGACAAAGCAATCTGTTTACGTCAAAATCACGTTGGGGAAGGATTATAAAAGAGTTTCTGTGAAGCTAGTGTTAGGGGTCCACCATAGAACTTGGGTCAGACTAATATTAGAAATACTGAAGGTTGAATCATAATGGAAGACTTCAATTTCCCAGATGCAGATCAGAGAATAACTGCTACTAATACTTGTAGGGTCCACTTAAATACTTGGATGTGATAAATAACTGTTCATCAGACTGTTGGTCAGCTAACGACATAATGAAGTTTTATACACCATTTTGGTAAGTAATGAGGATGTTACAAAAGAGCTAGTAATGAGAAATAAACTTGTGATCACTCAATTCATGGTTACCTCATTTAATTTCAACTGAATCATCAAAACCAGGTGGTAGCTACAGTTTTTAATTTCCAGTGGTCAGACTTCAGGAGATTAAGGGAATTAGTTAAAAAGTCAGCTGGACTTGAAGCTCTCAAACTTAAATGTGGATGTGGTTTGGAATTTCTTTAAATCAACAGTATAAAAAACTCTCGGCAATTTGAATTCTAAGCTGAGAGAGAACTTTAGGGAAAGGCTCCAGACACAGCTGGATGAATAACTACTTCAGAAAAATGAAGAATAAGCAGAGAGCTTTTAGGGAGTGAACAAGGAGGTTGATCAGCAAAGAAAGCCACATCTTGGAGATGAGAAAATGTAGGAATAACGTGAGATTTGGTAGAAGTCAAGCTGAAAAATAAAGAATAAAAAGCTTAGTTTTCTAAATAAAAAGTTAATAAGGAGGGATGAGGTTTAGCTGCTATGCAGTGTGAGTGAAAAGGAGATTGAGATAATCTAGGTATGATACAAAACTTAAATGAATACTTTCCCTTGGTTTTCAATAAGGATGTTAATATAGAAGGGCATAATATAGAAGGGCATGAAGGCAAGACAGCTGATGGAGATGATGAGCATGTCAAAACAGAAATTACCACATTTGAGGCAGAAGGAGAATTCCAAGTGTGATGTGCTCGAAGTGTGGGACTGGGTAATTTCTATCACAGAATACTGAAAAAATCTGGCACAAGATTGCCGGTTGAGTGGCAAGGATTTTTTTATACACTTATCTATTCGGGGATGGTATTCTAGGTTGAAGAACAGCTAAACATTTTACCAGTATTTAAGTAAAGAGGAAAAAGTGATCTGAGCAATTACACTGGTTAATCTAACCTCAATAATATGCAAGAGTTGGGAACACATTATGAAGAACCAGATGATTAAATTTATGGAGGTGAACAGAAAAGGGAGTGTAATATTACATGGATTTACCAAAGGTAGCTTCTGCCATTCAAATTTGATAGGGTAAGAAAGTGGGTCCGTTTTTTACCAGGAAAATGCAAGGTGTATCCACTATACCTGGACTTCAATAAAAGATTTCATATACCACATAGGACACTTATTAGTTACAGAAGGTGAGGGATTAGTACACAAATTGTAAAATGGCTTAAGAACTGACTGAAAAGGAAAAGGCAATGTATTGTGCTGAAAGGTAAACTTTCAAACTGGAGGGAGATGGCTAGTAGATGTCCCTAAAGATTAGTTTTGGGACCAGACTTATTGAATATTTTTATGAATTATTTGGCACAAAAAGTAGGAGCGATAACTTGTAGATAGTACAAAGTTGGGAGGAATTGTTAACAGAGGAGGATTGGAGTATTCTACAGGAATATCTGCCTCACCTTGAAAATGCAGTAACAGAAATGTATTAGAATTAAGGTTTAAGCACATGCACTTCTGATCTATTAATAACTTGAGATACAAGCTTGTAGCAGATCAGTTGGAAGCAAAGTCCTAGGTGTATGGGTTGGTCACAGGGTGACCGTTGTAGTGGTGTAGCTGTGGAAAAAGGCAAACGTGATCCTAGGATGCATCAGATGAGGTGTTTTCAGTAGAGGGAGAGAGAAGTATTAATGCTATTCTACAATACTCCTGTAAGACCTTATTTGGAAGACTGTCATTCTGATCCCCCATGTCCAAGAAAGAGGAAATGAAACTGGAAGAATTGTTGAGAAGTTTCCTTTTTCAACAAGTGCCAGAAAAATAAATCTTTAACATCTAATTTCTATCGCTCTGTGGAGAAGCTGATAGAGCTTCCTGTAGAAGGGAGGAAAATGTGGATTGAGATGTTGGCTTGAGTGAGAGAAGGGAAGTCTTCAGTCTTCTAGAAGGGGTCAAATGCTGGATTGCTAGGGACAGGGGCACCAGCTTCCTGGATGCATGGGGCACGGTGCTTAACCCCCGCTTGGACCCACATCTTATGCCTACTCAACCCCTTTCCTCCATGCCCCTGCTTTACCCTGGCTCTTCCTGGCATGTTGAGCTTCTTCCCCCTGCCTTTTCTTACCCCGCAGCTCCCACTCATTCCCAGTGCCTCCTGCAGGCTGCTGAACAGCAGATCAGAGGTGGTGGGATGGGGAGGAGCTGATCAGCAGGGTGTTGAGCAGCCACTGTGGCTTTTTTCCTCCCTTGGATGCTCCAGCCCCAGGATCTGTGCCTGTCCTTAAGGAGGTCAGTGAGGTGTGAATTAGGGATGTAAAATCTTGTTTAACCAGCCAACCGGGTAAACAGGGGAGGGCTGCTCTGGCAGAGATGGTGGCCCTGTGCAGGTCTGGAGTGGCCCTCTACCTGTGGTGGGCTGCTCCCAGGTGCTGGTTAACTGGTTGCTGTTAACACTCTTAACAACATCTGTTAGTCTATAAGGTGCGTCAGGACTCCTTGTCACTTTTAATGGGAATCGTGCTCAGAATGAGATGACCTCTTTCCTGTTTAACAGAGGAGGAGCCTACATTATGTCCTCAAACTATTTATACACTCGCTTCCCTAAGGACTGCTCTCTGAGCTGGTACTCATCCACCTTCCTATGGTGTGAGAAATGGCCTGGTTAAAGTAAGACAGCAGTGCTTTCTACTGCAATGCATACTTGGCAGTTGGCAGGAAGGGATCAGAAAATATTGAGCCAGAAGTTTCCCTTAAAAAAAAAGGGGGGGGAAAGAAGTGGGGTGAGGGGGGTGTTGCCATTCTTTGCTGTGAGCATGGATTCTGCACTTCTCTCCTATGATAGTCGTGTAAATGGGTAACTGGCTAACCAGTACCTGGGAGCAGCGACCCACCACGGGCCGATGGCTACTCCATCCCTGCAAGGTTTGGGAGCTGGCTGCCTCGTGTGTGGGCTGGGGGTGGGACCAGTAGCGGGAGCCTGCCTAATCAGTTAATCTGTTAACCAGACTTCTACATCCCTGTCCTATGCTCTGGTTAGTGTGGTGAGGACATCATGCATTTCAGCGAAGTGATTCTTGAAATTACTGATAGGAAGAAGACTCGCGGGTAGTTGACATTCTGCAGGAGATGGACATGAGCAAC